TTTATTGAGTTTCGGTAAAAGTTTACATAGCAGGAGTTAGGCTCCCAGTTTTACATTTTCCCCACACAGTGTGCACGCAGGTACATTTACCGCTGGGCCAGCATGCTCTTTCACTGTGCTGCGTGCTCCCGTTTCCCTGCCGCCTTATCTTCTCATCTTTGTTTTTGAGAAAGTGTTGGCCTTTCAGCCTCATACTGACGGTTTGTCAGTGGGGCTCGGATCTTATGGGCCTATTCCCATTGGGTCTGGCGCCCTGCTAGTGGGCGAGAAGTGGGGAAGAAAGAGCGTTGCAGATCTTAAGGCACTTGGAGGGACTGAGGCTTTAAAAAAAACAACATTTCTTTGTGAATCCGGTGGAGGTACGCACAGCAGATCATCAGTTTTACACTCAACAATGTCTGCACATCCTGTTTCGTCTCAGCCTTTGCAATGCAGTCCTCTCAAGGAAGCATCATTTCTCCCACTGCCACCCTGTGTTTCCTGTTTCCATCCCTCCTGCGTTTTCCTAGCCCTTCTGAACTTGGCCCTCATTTGATTTCGCATAGCTGGTTATTCTAAGGCAGTGGTTCGCAACCTTCCTCATGCCGTGACCTTATACTACAGTTCCTCCTGTTGTGGTGACCCCCCCAACCATAAAATTATTTCCGTTGCTACTTCATCACTGTCATTTTGCTACTGTTAGGAATCGGGAGATCCCTGTGAAAGGGTCATTCGACCCCCAAAGAGGTTGCGACCCAGAGGTTGAGAACCGCTGTTCTAAGGTGGGCATACCTCCCTAGAGTTACTGTTCCCTGGTACATAGCTGTGCATGTTTGGGGCGGAAGGCTGTAAGGCATGGAGGTGAGTTCATCTCCAGCCCTCACGGCCTCCAGCAGCCTCTATCTCACCAGGGAGCTGGCTCGCTTGATTTTGGGTTCTGCTCCACCTTTTCCTCCCACTCTGCCCACAACCTTCTCGTGGGATCCCTTCGGAGCAGCCGGTAGTGGTATCCAGCTACCATCTAGTTCTTTTGGCGCCAGGCACTGGAAGGACTGGCCTTTTTACGAAGCGGGTAGGCCAAATTCCATAGTAGGTCAAATTCCATCTTCTCACTCTGCTTCATCTGTGGCCGGATGAAATCTTTTACATAACACGGTGCAGCATGGGATGAGGTAATGCTGAACAATGTGGGTTTGTCAGGCTCTTGGTATGACCGGAGCCAATTTTACCTTTCATGGAGCCCTGGTGTTTTTCAATTCCGGATGCAGTGTCTCAGAGAGAGGCTCGATTCTAGGCAGAAAGAGCACCTGGGGTGGTAGTCTCAGGGCTTCTCTATTGGGATGGTTTTATTTTACCTCAACTCGCCGTCCTTGTGTGGAGTTGGGGTGGAGTCCAGCCTCTCAATCAAGTCGCAGCCTGAGGATGCCTCCTTGCAGGCGTGGCCTTTAATAAGAGAGACTGAGCACTTCTTTCCTTCTTGCCCCTTTTCACTCCCCGCTTGCCTGGACCTCCTGTCCGGCCTCGGGGTTGGCAGCCTAGGTGGCTGGCTGGCCCTGGGAGGATTGGCGCCTGCCATGTTCCGGAGGACCTGGGCTCCGTGGGACTCTGCACCCACCAGCCCAGGGTCTCCAGGCTGCCCACTTCACCCTTCTGCTGCTTTCCGCCCACAGCTTTGTGAGTCCGCAGAGGCCCCCAGCTAACTTTGTGCCCACGCGCCGGAGTTGGGCTGGGTTCGGCTGCTTTTTTGATATAAAATTCTTTCTTGATATCAAGTCCTTTCCTGTGTGTGTGTCGCTGGTTTTCTTTTTCTTTTAAAAACAAAACGAACTCTGTCTACTTTCCCAGTTTGTCTGACTTAAAACTGTTTTCTTTTAATTTGTTCGAATTTGAGTTCTGCCCCATGTTTTTCTCCCACGCTACTGTGGCCCTGGTCAGAGTGGTCAGTGGGTCAGTTCTTGTGGGCTCGGGCTAGCCGAGGTTCGGGCGCTCGCAGACTTGCTTCTTCACTGCACTCTTGGTTAGCTTTGTACTGTTTGCCTCCTGGTGTGTGGAGAGCCTTGGCTGGGCCTTAGATGGCGGTTCACAAGCTTTTAAGACCCAGATGGTACCCACTTCGAAGAGTTATCTACCTTGGCTTTCATGCATTGAGTGCTCTTAATTATACAAATGACATACACAAGTCTAACAAGATTAATGAGGTGAAACAAAAACCGTAATAGTAAGGGGAGGAAATATTAAAGGACTAGAGGATAGTTACATGTTTTATCAGTGCTATACTGCTCCCTAGATTTATCATCCTTTCCATGTGACCTTCTGTGAGGGACTGACCAATTATCTTACAGGTGGTTTTGGGTCTCCACTTTGTCCACACTCTTTCACATCAATTTGATTGCTTGTTTTTGAACTTCTGATCCCTACTCCCATCGACACCTCATGATTACACAGGCTGGTGTGCTTCTTCCATGTGGGCTTTGTTGCTTCCCTACTAGATGACCGCTTTTTTCACTTCAAGCCTTTAAGACCCCAGATGTTATATCATTTAGTAGCCAGGCACCATCAGCTTTCTTCACCACATTTGCTTATGTACCGATTTTGTCTTCAGCGATCATGTTGGGAAGGTGAGCATCTTATAGTGCCACATTATTAGAACAAACCGTCTTTGTACTGAGGTAAGATTTAAGCAGAGGTCCAAAGTTCATCTCCTTCCTTGTTGTATTTACATATCTATACAGACATGGACAAATACACCTACCTTTATATATTTACATATATGCATATTTATATCTATATATAGTATTACTTTCTTCTTCATTCCTTTTTCTTTTTTCTTTCCTCCTGCCCCACTGTCATGCTTACCCATCATTCACCTCTCAGTAATTCATCTCAGATACATTTCAGCTGATGGAGCACCACCAGGAACGTGGCACCCTCCTCAGCATCCCTTTTGGATCCCTTGCTCCTCCCTTTCCCTGTGGTTACTGGCTCACCGCTCGCCTCCCACTACCTCCTCCCACTGCCTGGTCTCTTGCCTGCTGTTTCCAAGGGTGTTGCTTGTGGATCCAAGTAAAATGAAAATGTTGATCTTCTCACCATTTATCATGATGTTGCTTATTGTCCAATGGTGAGGAGTCATTGTTTCAAAGAATGTTTTGTTACAAATTAGGGAAAAGTTGACAGAGTGTTTCACTTACATTCGACAAAACCTACACACTTGGTTCCCACTAACCCATGTCAGTCCCCCCCACGCACCATCAGTTATCCCCCTCTTCCCTGCTTTCCGAGCCCATTGTGCCCACGTCTGTGCTTCCCTTGTGAGCTTTAATGGCGGCTCATTCACACACAGGGGTGAGTTCCGTTTCAGACCTGAAGAGTGGCTCAGGCCACCATCGTGGGGTCCCTCCAGTCTCTATCTGACCAGTAAACCCAGTCTCTGAGGCTTTTGCGTTTTGGCTAACATTTCTTTCCATCTCTGTGCAGAACCTTTTCAGAGCAGGAGCTGCTCCAAGGGACAAACTGAACTTTCTACTCCTGTAAGGAGTTACGGTCTCAGAAAACTGACTGGGCAGTTCCACCTGTTCTTGAGGGTGACCAGGAGTCAGCAGCGAGTTGTTGGCAGCGAGGTTGGTTTGTATTTTTAGGAATCTGTGTACAAATACCACTCATGCACTAAATTCCAACTCCCCCCGCCCCCCGCCCCCCCAGCCACTGCCTCCACAAAGCTTGCTTGTGGCCTTCCAAGGACAGCCCACACTTTCTCTCTGAGGCTTCACAAACTCGGCCTACCGTACTCTGCCTTGCTCCTGCTTGTATTCGTCTTTTACCTTTTTAAAAAAAGAATGCATGCATTCTGATTTGAGAACACACCGGAGCCAGGCAGTGACTTCTCTTGGGTTTCTTTCGCATGAGGTCAAGGCACCGCGGTTCGCCGCCCATTTTAAAAATCAGCTGGACATTTGCCCGGGGATTTCTAAGGAAACCTGCCCATTCCAATTTTTCTCCAAGCAGTTAAGCATGGCGGGGCTGGGGGTTCGAAGGCGGTAACTCTTTATGGGAGTAGAAAGCCTGGTGTTTTCAAACTGCTGACCTTGCAGTTAGCAGCCCAACTTGAAACCCGTTATGCTACCAAGGCGTCAACTTATGCCCGGCACACAGTAGGTATTTAAATATGTCAACGTCTTGCATTTAATCACTCAACCAATACTTACCCGATGCCTACAGCATGCAACTCGGGTTCTACGAACAGTTCCAGGGTTGCCTCTCAGACAATGTGCAGCCGTTGTCGTTGTCGCTGGTCTGGCCTCTTGTTGTTACGTGCAACTGAGTCCACTTTGACTCTGCACAACAGAAGGAAACACTGCCTGAGCCCGCGCCGTCCTCACGATCCTTCTATGTTTGCGTGTGTTGTTGCAGCCAGCTGCGGTGTCAAACATCTCCCGGAGCGTCTTCCTCTTCTTTGCTGACCTGATCCTCTACCAAGCCTGATTCCCTTCCCCAGAGACTAGTTCCCCCTGAGAACATGTCCAAAGTGCAGGAGAATGAGATGCAGTCTGGCCCCTTCTGCATTTCCGTGGGGCATATGATGACCATCTGACCTAGTACTGATAAACGGCCCAAGCAAAGCAATAAAACTGAGAAGGGTTTGATTTCCTCTGACATTTATAACCAACAAGGGCTCAGTTCTACGCTAAGAAGGCCCGAGTACAGATTTTACTGGGCCCTTTGCCTATTCAAACTAATATATAACCATTAACCAGTTAATCCAAATCGGTCCTTAGGGAGGCCCGGCAGAGCCATGATCTCTGCATTACTGAAAGCCAGGTGGCCTGCTCAAGGCCACCTAGTGAGGTCAGTGCTGGCCTATGAAGGCAGCTGACTGGAGATCAACGCTTCTTTGCCTGGATTGGCCAGCCCTCCAGCAGGCATTTCCACAGCTGGTTCTGTTCTTCTGGTTGCTTGGGTGAGTGTGTGTTTTGACACTAGAGCAACTGCATGAGGCCCACTGAGGACCTGAATGTGGTCATCTTCCTTCGCAGACCCACGGCCCCAAGAAGTCCTTTTGTGGGGTGCAGGCCTCTGGAAGTGGGATCTGAGGGCTCATGTCTCAGAAATTACCCCACGTTGATGTGCAGAGCTCAGCAACTCAGTGTTTGGAGTCAGGCAACTTTTCTTCCGATCCTCATTTCGTTGCGCTGTGCCATGCGATGCTGCGTAAGTCCCTTACCTTGGCTCGAAAGGTACCTTCTTCTCTACAACGGGAGTGTGATAATAGCGTGCACCGATGGCAGGGGTGAATGAAGATCAAAGACTACAGCCTTCAATATGGATTATACCTCAACTTCAAACAAAATAAACCCAAACACCCACTGTCATAGAGGCCACTCTCAAAGTGGCCCTACATAGGGTTTCTGAGGCTGTAAATCTTTACCGAAGCCGGTAGCCTCATCTTACTCTCTCAGAGTGGGGTTTGAGCTGCCAGCTTTGTGGTTAGCAGCACAATGTTTACCCAACAGTGCCACTAGGGTGCCCTCGACATTAAACAAAAATTCTCAAAAATGGGTCAAGCAACAAAAATCCTCGAAATTAGATCAACTGAGAGATGATTGAAGTTGTCAAGGATGTCATTTTTTGTGACTACACAGTCAGTGCTTGGAAGCAACAGGGAGGAAAGCTAATGACATATCACACTGGGGAAATTTGCCGCAAAGAGCCCTTTAAAGAAATGTTCCGAAGCAAAGTTATCACTTTGCAAACTAAGGTGCACCTGCCTTGAATCATGGTCTCTGTAATTTCCTCACAAGTATGCAAAAGCTGAAACACCAAGAAGAAAAACTGCAAAATGTATGCCTGTGCATTACGGAATTGGAGAAGAATATTAAATGTGCCAGGTGCCACTAGATAGGAGCCCTGGTGTGGTGGTTACGTGTTGGCCTGCTGCCCATCAGGTCAGCAGTTTGAAACTACCAGCTACTCCTCGGGAGAAAGATGGGGCTTTCTACTTCAGTAATGAGTTACAGTCTTGGAAACTCACAGAGGTAGTTTACCCTGTCCCAAATGGTCGCTCTAAATCGGCAATGACTCTCTGGCAGTGAGCAAGTGAGTATGAGCCACTAGAAGAAGGGACACATCAGTGTTGGATGAAGTACAGCCGGAACGATCCTTAGAAGTAAGGAGGACAAGACTGTGTCTCCCAGGTTTGGAACATGGCATCAGGGAGGTTAGTCCCTGGAAAAGGACATCATGGTTGGTAGGAGTGGTCAGTGAAAAGGAAAAGAGGCGAACGTTCAATGAGAGACGGGCTGTTACAGTGGCTGCTACAATGGGCTTGAACTTGGGATGATTGTGAGGTCCTGGTACAGGGCCGGGCAGCGTTTCTTCCTATTGTACATAGTCGGGTTGTTATGAGTCAGAAACAACTTGATGGCAGATGACAACAACAACAGCAGCATGGCTGTGCTGCAAGCATTAGATGGCATCATGTCTGCAAGCCATCAGCACAATGGCTGACCCCCAGTAAACATTCCAAGTATAAAGCAGCCCCGTTGTGTCTGGCTAGCACTGTGGCCCATAGGATTTTCCATGGCCGATTTTTTTTCTGAAGCAGAGTCCTATCACTTTCTTTTGAAGGACCTCTGGGTGGAACTTGAGTTTCCATCCTTCCCATTAGCAGCTGAGCACACACTTTTTGCACCACCCAGGGACTCTGCTCGATGTAAAACAGCTGTGAAATTATCTGGCCAACGCTAGCAATTGCCTCTAGACAGAAAAAATAAAAGGCGTCTAAACCAGTGGTGTCTGGTCTTTTCAACAAAGACCCCCTGAAAAATCCATATCCAAAATAGAAACCAGGCTCTCGGCGTGACTGACCTATATACAGCTGTGTTAGCTAAAATTTGGGTGGGAGTAATAGCATGAGAAAGGGGTGCGCCTTATAGAACGTATCTACCTAGATGCGGCAAATTGAGAAAGACGGCACACTTTGGAGAAATGTATTTATTGCCTTTGGGAGGCTGAGCTGCAGTGCAGCTGAGCAGCCAGTGTCTTGACATTACCTGTTGTCCTGATGCTTTGTGAGCTCCATATAAAGCCAGTGGAATGACTTTCCTTCCCCCCAAGCCTGAACAATTTGCTAATGGAGCTGTGGGTTTTGTGGGATTTTTAAAAAAACTGTGTGTGTGGATGTGAGTGGCTTTGATTTCATTTCTGGAACAAAGGAAGTGCAAAGACATTAAGTCTGAGCCCATCAAAGAAAGAACTCTGTAATTGCATTTTGGCAGTCGACGTGCTGGGCGGTGTGCGCTGGGAAAGCCAGGGAGGATGGATCCCGCACGCTCTCTGAGCCCACGTTCTCTGACAACTGCGGCAGGAGACAGCGCTGTGCTGGACCACTGCAGACCTGGGCCTACTGTGATGAGCAAGTAGAGCAGTGGCACCCAGCTCCCCGCTAAGGAATCTACCCTGCATGTCCAGTACAGCAGCACCTCCTGCCCTCCTGTGGCTCTTGTGCACTTTCGATGTGGCCGTTAAGGACTGAAATGTGCTCTTACATGGACAACACACACTAAATGCGAAGAATTAGCAGGTTAAAAAAAAAGGACCAAAAATCATGTCTTTATATTGTGTATAAGTCACAGTATAGGAACCTGGGGTGTACAAGCGGTTTGCAATCAGCCACTAGCCAGTGGCTCCATGGAAGAAAGGCCTGGCTAACTGGTTCTGTAAGGATGGTAGCCACAGAACAGTTTTACTTGATCACCCACAGGGTCCCCATGTACAGCTGACTCAGTGGCAACTCACACCAGCAAGTCTAAGCAATCATATTCCAGATGTATTGGTTTAAATAAGACATAGCATTGACATTAATTTCACTGCTTTCTTTTTCATCTGGACTAGATTTGCTGGAAAAACTTCAAGCACAGACATGGTTGGCCTTTGTGAGTTGCAAAGATAGAGAAGTTTGACCCACAATCAGAGGCTAATAGGTGAGGCAGCCACCTGCCGGGCTTGCACCCAGCTCATAGTGACTCTTCCTTTTCAGGTGACTACCTCTGCCCTATGGAGGCCTGCTGGTGTAGTCGGTTATGAATTGAGCTGCAAATAGCAAGGTCAGCAGTTCAAGCCCACCACGTACTCCTAGGAGAAAGATAGCGCTTTCCCCTCCCATAAGGAGTCGTTGATCTTCTTGTTAGGTGCTACGGAGTCCGTTTGACTCACAGCGGTCCTCTGCACAACAGAAGAAAACCCTGCCCAGTCCTGTGCCACCCTCACAATTGTCCCTGTGCCGAGCCCATCGAGGCAGCCACTGGGTCAGCACACCTCATCAAGGTCTTCCTCGATTTCACTGCCCCGCTGCTTTACGAAGCATAACGTCCTTGTCCAGGGGCTGGTCTCTCCTGACAACATGTCCAAAGTGCCTGAGATGAAGTCTGACCATCCTGGCCTCTAAGGAGCATTCTGGCTGTACATCTTCCAAGACAGATTTGTTTGTTCTTTTGGCAATCCGTAGTATTTTCAATATTTTTCACCCGTGCTATAATTCAAATGCACCAGTTCTTTGGTTTTCTTCTTTCAGTGTCGAGCTTTCACATGCATATGAGGCTATTGGAAATACCATGGTCAAGGT